CCCAACTGACATTGCAGCAGCACACTTCATATTTAACTTTTTAAAATCACTTGTGAAAGAGAGTAAGCCTTGAATGAATGAATGAATGAATGATTAAATCCTTGTAATCTACAGGTGGGCTTAAGGCGTAATGTCTGACAGGTGGCAGTAATTGAGTATTTAATTAAAAGTTGAGGTGAATTGAGTGGGAGCATCTTCAGGAAATGAAACTCTGTGTTAATTTATCTATTAAAAAATTGCAAACTCTGAGAGCACATGCTTTCAAAGGAATGCTTCCATAGGGTGGATAAATTGTACACAGATAAGCCATCTCTTTCTCATATTGCCTTAGCAAGTCTACCTTCACATGCCCATGAAATGAATTTTGCATGACTCAGATGACAGAGCAATGAAATTTGTTATTAGACTGGTGATCACGTTGATCCTTATCATTCTAGAAGTTAGTAGATGTTAGTTATAATTTCCAGTAGATTTCATGTTCTCATCCTTTCTGTTTTATTTATATTTGTCATGCTCCAGAATTGATTCCACCTACACTAGCATATGCTTCTAAAAAAAGGGCAAATTTAATACCACTCAATTTCTTTAAGTTTATACCATTAAAGAACAGAAAAGACAATGATAAAATATCAGTTTTTTCAACAAGACAGTCACAGTGATGGAAAAGGTGAGTATTCAACAATACTAACATAAAGACTTTAATGTATTAATTTTTTTGTTCTGCTACTGAGAAGGGATTATCTTCTTCTAGCATTTCCCTGGCACTTTAGTCAACTTTTAGAGTTTATTTCATTCTTAGTTAGCATAGTTGGAAGTCAGAAAAAATTTATACGTGTTTCATGCCTTCCAGAGACTTAGCTCCTGATTTGGGAGTGTGTCTCAAAGTGTCTCCCTAATTACTGCTACTGGTTTTGCTAGCTCATTTGCTATGTATCAGATTCAGCAAGACTTCCTTAAGGTAGGTGACTGTTCTCTATCCACCTACAGTGCCCCTTAGGTTGGTATTAACTTGAAATGATGGGGTGACAGGTGCAGGTGGTATTCACTTGATACAAACAGTGATTAATATTGGAATGGCCAGTTTTGCTCTTTGTTTCTAGGTCTCCATCCAAAAGAGAAAGTTTTTTAAAAAACTGTTCACAAAATTCAAAGCTCCAGAGGCCAATTAAAAGACAAATGTGTCGGAAGTCCGAGGGAACTGCAGGATAATTTTCTCACATACCCATCTCTGCTACCCAAATAGAATTACGTATTCAAAGAACACACCTTGCTGTACTGGGAAGTACAAGTGTCACACGGAAAAAGAAAAAGATTGTAAATTAAAGAGAGGAGTAAAAGAGGATGATAACACCAAAAACTAGGAGTGAAATATTGAATAATGCCCTATTAAAGTGTCCTGCTAAAGATTAAAAATAAGGATAGTTTTGAGAATATATGAAGAGACCCATGCATTAAAAAGTAAGTGAGATAAATGTTTTTCCTGTTAAAGACAGCTCTCCAGTTACTTGTTTAAGTGCTTAGGGAAGCAAGGGGAAAGGGAAAGAAAAAAACAGCTTCAGGTAGTAATACTTCCTCACAAAAAAGAAATAAAAGACTCATACTAAATCTTTTCTTTTAAAGAGTGCAAACTAACCCTGCATAATAATGTTGGATTAAAGAGAGACTACATCATGACATTTGAAAGTTTGATTAGGTTTTTGGAATTCTTCTATTTATGAAATATTTACGATTAGCTTTAGTGGAGCTGGAGAGTAAACATAGTGACCATCAAGTACTCAGCCACTAGGTGCATCCCCAGGTAACTTTCTTAATTTATTTTAACAGGGTCTCACTAAGTTTCTCAGGCTGGCCTTGAATTTGTGATCCTTCTACTCACCCTCACAAGTAGCTACCATTACAGGTGTGCACTACCACCAACATGCTCAGCCAATAATAAAATTTTGCCAGGATATTTAATCAGAAATGACTAGATTTTATATAGACGCTACCTTTGTATTGAGTCATAGCTAGGACGGTGGGAATGAAACTGTACTTGTAAAATTTTAGTTGGTAAATATTTTTTACCTTGCAGTAGCGGGCCAAGAGCCCAGCTCTGCTTTGTGGGCACACACGCATCCATGAACAATATAGAAATGAATAAACACAGCTCTGTTTCCCCCAGATGGTCTTTTTTGAAAAACTAGGTGGTCCATCACATGTTTCCTAAGGGGTATGTATTTTGCCTTACTCAGCTCTAAACAAATAACAGTGAATGAGATATACCGATAATATAATGTATTCTTTTTCTACATTAATAAATTCCAATAAAATGAATCTTTTGCTTTTTAGCACAAGGAGTTCAAACACTAATGTAATCCAGAAGCATTTATCCAGACAAAAAGAAATGCGTGATGGTATTTGTTTTCACAGCTCAGCTGAAAGAACACATTTTAACACATGTTCTTTGACATACTAAGTTTGAAAAAATCTTAGCAAAGAAAACAATTATAAATGTAATTTCCTGAATAAATTTGAATTTTGGACTATTGCTTAACTTTCTAAACGTTAGTGATAAAATTATTTCATAGAATTCAACAAGCTTATAAATTTAAAAAGCCATGCATTTCTGGCATTACATACATTTTGTTCCCTCAAATATGGTGCAAAACTAGACACTGTGAGATTCCAAATCATAGCAGGCTGCGTTGTGAAACTGGTTTGTGAAAAAGAAATCAGGAAAAATTGAAAATCTACAATTGGTGGACATGCAGAAAAAACATACAGAACAGCAGAGTTGAAATCGTCTTAGTAAAGCAAACTAGGCACCGTTTCTAGATCTCTTACCATGAATATTCTCATCGAAGTTTGTTACCTGTTATTGTACAATAATAGGCTTGGTTCTACTTGGGACACGAGTGCCTCCCAGTAACTAGGAGCATCACAGCTGTGGGTCTGCTTCCTGCTCTGTGGAAAACTCCACTCCACCACTGGTCTGTAAAGAGCCGTGGGTAGGCTTGAGCATGGCCTACACTACTACCATATTTGTGATGATTAGAGGAAACTTCTTTTTATTTCATTAAAAAAATCCACACTCATGACTCAAAAGATCAACCAAATTAGATGTGCTATTTTGGACACTTCAGCCATAGTCAACGTGGGGAGTAGGTACATGTACAAAATGCAGCTGGATTATTTTTTAACCCCTTTGCCCTTCCCTCTTGCCTCTTTCCCTCCTCTTAATCTTCTTTCCCTATTTCCATTCCTATTGACATTATTAATTTTTTCTCCTGGCTATGACATATAATGTTTAACTTCATTTTGTTTATTCTGTTCCTGTAGCAGGGCATGTCTTTATGTTCACATTCACTTCATTTATTCAATTTGTGTACGTAGGTTTACTCTACTTATTTCCCCTTGCCCTCCTCCTCTTGCCCAGTCTCTTGGACACCTTCCCATCTGTAAAAGATCTATCATATTCTCTACTTCTATCTATCTTTTATTGTTCTCTTTGTTTATACTTTGCCATACTCAAATGAAAGATACTATATAATATTTAAGCTTGTTTCTTCATCTAGAATCAGGAAGATTTCTGTTTGGTACAAGAGTTACTATAAACTCCATTTCTAATAGTGAAGGGGGGAAAACATCATTTTATCTTTGGTTATTCTAAGTGCTCAAACACTGATAGGGTTCACAAAATCATAGGTACTATTGCATTAATGGTTATTAAATGACTTTTCAACTGTCTTTCAAAGAACCCTCAACTTGTTCCCAAAATATTTTATTGTGATGGGCAATAGATCCTGTAAATAGTGATAAATAAATGTAATTTATTAAACATACCATGTGTACTATTTTGTCTTATTTTTCTACCTAAGTTGAAAATATCAAACATGATGAATAATGGGCAAAACATCATAGTTTTTCAATTGTTATTGTGCGTGTCCTTTGTTTTTCCTCTTTCAATAATCTTTTACTTTAGAATCATTGATGTTTTAGTTATACTTATCCTAATGGAGGAAGAACTTTGGATTTAAACTGGGGCTGAGGAAAAGGTTTGTACCTCAGTCACTGAAATCGTTCTGATATTGGATATCCTAGGCCACACACTGAGTAAAGATGTTGAAAAAAAGCTAAAATTCTTTCTCTCTCTCTCTCTCTCTCTCTCTCTCTCTCTCTCTTTCACTCTCTCTCACTGATTGACACACTCAAGCACATGATACATGTGATTCTAAGGTAGGGTATAATCATTAGGAATTCAGATGTCCTTCTTGTACAGATTTTGCTCCAAAAGTCAAGACAAGTCGTTTGGGTTTCTAAATTTATGCACACACAATATAGGATAGATCAATGGTAGCTAAGTAGATAAGTGCACATATGGTAGATAAATAGATAGGTAGATAGATAGATAGATAGATAATTTTTTGTTGGTGTTGTTGTTTTTAAGACAGGGTCTCACTATGTACTTGAGACTGGCCTAGAACTCACTATGTAGCCCAGGCTGGTCTCAAATTCACAGCAATCCTCCTGCGTCAGCCTCCCAAGTGTTGGGATTACAGGCGTGTGCCACCACACCTGGCTAGAGTATTGATAGAAAGCAAGAAAGGTAGGGAGACTGGGGAAGCTTTTGCTTACTATATCTCTTCTGCCCATGATGCTGCACAAATAGCATGATGTTGATGCTTTCATAATTCCTAGAGGCTCTGCTGCATTGAGTTATTTTTTAGTTCAGCGATTATGCAAGATGGATAGGTAAACTACAAAGCTAATCCATTACCAAGACATTTAATGGCTCTTCTCTATTTCCAGAATGCTTTCTGTCTATGCTGTAATTACATAGAAAATATTTTTAAAGGCCATTCTGTTGCTTCAGTTAATGTCATCAATGATTTGCTGTAGGGAAAATATAGGATTTATTTCTACAATGTGCAATTTCTGTGATCCCAATTTTGATACAGAGTAGTTTGATATACCATGAAAACGAACCGTGGAATGAAGTACGATAAACATAGTAAGTCGTTGTTGTTTATTCTTTGTAAATTTGTAGAGGAAAATGGTCATAGTAAGTAGTGGGAAGAAAAGTTTTCATAGTAACTATGGAGAAGAATGCAGAGTGAGAAGACTTCTAACTTTTTAACTAATGGCCCCATAAGCAATGAGGGTGAGCAACAATGGGATTCTACATTAGTGTGTGTTTCTTTTGCAACCAAAATTCACAAATTTGAGGAGGACTCAAAGTATTTGAAGTCCTGGCAGATAAAACTTTGTTTTTCCTTTTGCATTTGTCTCAAGTAATGAAATATTTTCCACATAATACAGAATTTTATTGGACGAAGTGCACTTTTGTGACTCAGAATAAGAGAACTATTTTATCAGTGACACAGAAGGATATCCTACTATACTATTTCCACTTATAAGTCCAAGGTTGTAATCAATAGATTTTGCAGTTTAGAGTCAAGGTACCTTAGAAATTATATTATTTTCTTTTTATTCTATACTACCCCCCAAGACTACTGCTAACTGTGCCTAGACTGAGAAGACCAAAGAATGTGAATTTAATAAAGAAATTTTTGTAATTCTCATACGCTATGATAAATAGATTGCTGTTTGATTTTCATGACTTGAAACAAGATGTATTTGTTTAACTTGGGTTATTCTACTATGTACTTTATTTTTCTGTGTTCTTTTTTCTTTCTTATTCTTATTCTTCATAACATGTATCTCTTTGATGCTTGCTCAGCCATCTGGAAAATATGATGAAAGGAGGAAAATATTCTACCGTACCAAAGATAAACAAAGTTAAGCAGCCTAAGCAAACAAAACTAACAAAATCATGTACTAGGTGAGGTCTTTGGAAAATATTAATGTAGAATGGCCACTGACCTTCAAGCCAATTTATACTTAAAACACGTTTAGATTAGAATTGCTTGCGATTTTGAAAATCCACTGGAAAAAATTGGAACACCATGTGTAAGAGTTTTAGAAAATGATTAATATATTTCTGCATGGTCACAAACCTTGTTTTCAAGATAGTCTTTCTTAGGTTAAATTCAATTTCTGAAGCCTGTACTTTCACAACCTTTCTTAGTAAAACCAAATAATAGTTAGAATAGCACATAAGGCTGTATGTGTTTTTCTTAGTATCTCCTTTTTCTATAGGAGCAGAGGAGAAATATTAGGGACTTGTTTCTTCCTTTTTAACATTTAAAGGGAGACATTCCCTGTTTCAGGAGGTAGTACATACTGTGAAGGGGCTTCTTGACTCTATCACCAGTGAACACTTTATCTCCTGAAGCAGAGGCTGAATAATCAAGGACCATATTTCTCAAACTTAGCCAAGATTGACAGGTTGCATGATGAGTGGCTGGCTACCTCACATCTGAGAAACTGCTACCTCACAAAAGTGGTTTTGTAGCTACAGTATCTCAAGAAGAGCTGAGATTTTAACTTTTACCAATTGTTAGGACTCAAACACCGGAGAAAATCTAAAAGGATTCTTCCAAGACAAGAATCCTGGGCTTTGTGAAAACTTCCAGTGCAAGAGATTAATACCCTAATTATCTGGCCAGAACATAGGGATTATAGTTAATTCCAGTGCTTTAACTTTATGGAAAAATGTATTGCTAGATTGATGGCATCTTGGGTTGGAATATACACAGTTCATATTTTTTTCTAGTGTAAACTTAGTTATAGTTCAGCTGTCTCATGTTCAATAAATTCCATCCCTCTATGTATAATACATATATAGAGACTATGTTCTGGGACCTAGTGATGCACTACTTCTTTCCTTAATTTGTATTTAATTCTCAGATAATATATTCTATTTGTTAAATGCAATATATGCTGTGAAATTCAGATGTATCTGTATACAACAGCTCTGAATTTATCAGCTAATCATATAGCTGCCTAACATCTCGATGCTTCTAACAGACATTTCAAAAGTAAAATGGCCTGAAAAGAACCTTTCAACTCCTGCCTTCACTTAACCTGATCCCCTGATCCTCCCCTGGTTTTTCTTATCATAGCAAATAACATTTCTACCATTTTTCCAGGTTAAAAACCATGGTGTGATTCTACCCGCTATAAATCATGCTGGCATTGCCCTCAAAATATATTCAGAAACTGACCATCACCATTGCTGGTGACCAAGTCATTGACTTAATAGTTGGAACCAGTGCAATAACCCAAGCAATCATTGCTCCTTTCACACTGACTTCTATTCCCCACTCTAATAACCAGAGTAATCTTTAAAATGTAGCATGTCTTCATATCCTCTTTGAGCTACTCACTGGCTTTTAACTTCAAACAGCATCCCATAATGTCCACCTCATTCTACTTCTCTAACCTCATAGCCTATTAAATTCCTTTTACCTAACTCTCTCAGGCACACCCTGGTCCCTCTGCCAGTCTCTGCCTTCTACATCAGGACAGTTTTATGCACTGTTCTCTGTCCTTGGACATTCTTCCCCCAGGTGGTGTCTTTAATGGCTGACTTCTTCATTTTCTTCATGTCCCTAGTCAGATGACATCAAAAGGTCTTTCCCTGAATTCCTACATAAGCTGCCTGTTTCAGTCTCTATTCTCCTTAGCCCACTGTATTTTCAGTCATAACACTTTTATTATCTGGTTGTTATTTAATGGTATAACCTCATCTAGGGTATGTACTTGTGTATTTGTTTGCTTTTGTATCCACCGATCCTAGATAATGTTTAAATGAACTAGGTGGTAGTTTATCAGATATTCACAGGTATTCTCTCTGTAGGAAACTCATTAATTTGCATGCTATAATAATGAGCAAGTATTGTCAACACCACTAGCTACTTTTTTCCCATATTAAGAAGTTCAAATAATAAATGAATTTCATTGCCTAAACTATTTCTGAACCTAGGGAAGCTTGGAGAAGGGTTATTACAGAAATCAGGATTTAGCATTATTTTCATTGATTAAATACTTTTTTAATTTATTCACTCACCTGACAAATATTTATAAAGTGCTTATGTAGAAAATTTGTGATTCTCAAAAGATGTAAAGGTGATTCAGCGTTTGTCCTCAAGGAGCTTATTCATCTGATGCAAAAACTGTGTTTTTCAATGACCTAGTTTTGAATCATAAGAATTACTTATCTTGAAGATGTTCCTAACAAAAATCTGATTTTCTACAAATCATAAAAACCTGGTATATTTCACTACAAAATAATGATAACACTTCAATTGTAAATCAGATTGGAATTCAAGAGAATTTTAGAATCCAAACCTTAATATCTGCTTTAATATCTAGAATAACATTCCCGAAAATTGCTTACTATTTTTATTTGCCATTTACTAATTAAAATATAATAATTGTGTCAAATGTACAATATATTACTACTGACAATATTTTTCTAAACCAAAACTTTATATATTTTTACTTAAGTAAATTATTACAAAATTACTTCACCTCTAAGAACTTCAAAATCCATTAATAATTAATGCCATGTCTTCAATTTATTATTGCCCTATAGGACTTCAGCACCAAAACTATGTTACTGAATAATGATTTAATTGTGAAAAATGTAGGAGTTTGTATTTAAAAATTGGAGATCAAAACATAATCTTAATTAAATCTCTCAGAATAGGCAAAGTAAATTTGAATTCTAAATAAAAAATGAAGATATATAGATTACTTTAGAAATGGAAATCATATCTAATAAATATTGAAGTGAAACTTTTAGAGAGATGAAACCACTGACACCCACTAAATGATGACTAAAACAAGATAAATATTTATTAAATGTGTCTGTGATTTATTGAGCTATGCTGGACTAAACAAATGTAATTTGATATCTGCATCATCTCTCATATTTTGATATAGCCTTCATTACATCTGAAGTCTCAGCTTTACAGGGCTATCATAAGTTGCTTTCAATTTTTAATCTCTGAAATATCAGGGTTTTTTTTTTTTTTTTTTTGTAAAACTCCTAAAATTCAAATTTGGT